GGAGGAGGAGGAGGAGGTAACGGTGCGGGCTTTAATCGACATATTATCCAGTGTACCGTGCGCGTAAAAAGCATGTGCAGATATACGAATCGAGGGGGAGAGTTTAACGGGAAAAAATGTAAATCGCGATATCGCGCACGGGCGAGCCGGAGCGTGGGCTGCGCTATGTGTATTCGCGTAGCTGGAAAATTAACGATTAAACTTCCCTTTTTTCAGAGAGAAAAAGAGATAGGTAGATAGATAAATAAATATATGTATGCAGAGAGAGAGAGAGAGAGAGAGAGAGAGAGAGAGAGAGAGAGAAAACAGCGTGCCGTAGATCTGCGGTTTGGTGGAGCGATCGCGGGAAAGTTTCGGACTTGACACGCGCACAAACCCTGTTCGCGATGTCGACGCTCTCGTTGGATCTCACGTTAAATGCGAGATCCATGTCACTCGCAACCCTCTGAAACGCAATTTAGTCGAACGTGCGAATTGAGACGCCGCGTGCAAATTCCATTGCGACTGGTCGAACGAGCCAGCGCGCGATCCGCGGCCGCAGAGGGTCGCGGTCGAATGTTCGACGCAGATTCCCGTCGCGTGGAAGAATCGCCGCCTGGCGAGTGTTGCGAGAGCGTCGTGCCAGCCGACAGCCACCCCTTGTGTCATCTCCACGCAGCCCCACGCAGGTCCACGCAGTTTCCCGGCGGCTCCGCGGAACGCGATTACGCGCCATGCCAACCGCGCGCGTATATATCGGCCGCGCTCGCGGCCTTCTGCGTCGCGTTTCGCGTCCACACGCACCGAGAGCCGCACACCACGAATATAACGAGCATAACACGTTATAATAATAATGATAACGATGACAATAACGATGATAATGAATAAAAAGAAGAGCAAGAAAAAGAAAGAGGCGAGTCAAGGCGAGGCGAGGCGAAAGGACGGTGAAGGTGAGGGTGAGGGTGAGGACGAGGACGAGGGTGAGGGTGAGGGTGAGCGCGTGGAAGCGGGAGCAAGAGAGAGAGGTACACTTTTACTCGAGCCCGTGGCGGATAAAGCGGAGAGAGAGAGGAATCGATCTTCGGCACACGGAGAGACGCGAGACACTTACGGCTTCCCGCGGGCAGAGCGGGGCGTCCGTTCGTCGTCCGTTCCGTTGGCGAAACGAGCCGTCGTCGACGAGAGACCAGCCGCGACGAGGGCAGTCCCGTGGTAGTGTCGCGCTTCTCCTCCGTATAGTATGCGTGTCCCCCTCGTGTCGCGCGACTCGTCGGGGTGGAAGCAGCTCGCCCGCGATTACCTGTGGTCGCGGCTAACACGCGCGATTATATTGCATATGATACTCCGCACAGAGTCTCCCCCCGCGGGGGGGGAACAACAGTTCCGCGCGCCGCGCGTCCGAAAAACCACCCTCGGAGTGCGCGAACCACCCTTGGAGTTTTCCTTTAGGCCGGCTGTCCGCGGCGGCGGCGGCGGCGGCGGCGGCGGCGGCGGCGGCGGCGGCGGCGGCGGCGGCGGCGGCGGCGGCGGCGGCGGCGGCGGCGGCGGCGGCGGCGGCGGCGGCGGCGGCGGCGGCGGCGGCGGCGGCGGCGGCGGCGGCGGCGGCGGCGGCGGCGGCGGCGGCGGCGGCGGCGGCGGCGGCGGCGGCGGCGGCGGCGGCGGCGGCGGCGGCGGCGGCGGCGGCAGCGGTGAGAGTGCTACGGCGAACTGCTGCGGAGGCTACGAGCCGCTCGCGGAGACGAAGAGAGTGAGAGGGAGAGAGAGAGTGTGTGTGTGTGTGTGTCCTCCTCTCGCGCTCGTCTCGCGTTCCTCTCGCGGTGTTACATCGACGTGTCAGCTCGGGTACACCGCGAGCACCCCTGCGAGATGACGGTGTAACCGCGACGACGACAATAATGACGACGACGACGACGACGACGACGACGACGACGACGATGACGACGACGACGACGACGACGACGACGACGACGACGACGATGATGTCGATGATGATGACGACGAGGACGACGACGGTGACGACGACGTCGACGAAGATAACGACGACGACGACGACAACCACGACGATGAGGGCTGGCGGGACCAACGCCGAAGAAGCAGCAGAGAGAGAAGTAGGCCGGTTAACCGTTCAGGCCGCACTGAAGAGTCGAGCGAGCCGCGGGTTAGTGAGGGTGAACCGGCCAGGCATCCCTCCTCTCGAGCACACCCCGCTTCACCACCCGAGCACCTTCACCCTCTCTCGCCGCCGCCGCCTCCGCCGCCGCCTCCGCCGCCGCCGCCGCCGCCACCACCGCTGCCGCTGCCACCATCGTCGTCAGCCACCCGCTCTCGTTCCGTCGCTCTTTCGCTCACTCATTCTCTCTCTCACTCTCTTTCTCTCTCTCTCTCTCTCTCTCTCTCTTTCTGTCTCTCTCCCTCCCTCCCTCCCTCTCTCTCTTCCTCGTTCTCCTCTAACCCTGCTGGTGGCCTACGACCGACCGGCCTGTACGCGAATACCTCGTAATCGCGACGCACTCGAGTATGAGTATTTATTCGAATGCCGCATCCCTTAGGAACTCGGTCGATACCCAGCTGGATCGGGCAGGTACCGAGATTGTCGGGCAGACCGCGGGACGCGCGAGAGAGAGAGAGAGAGAGAGAGAGAGAGAGAGATCGAAGTTATATCTGCGATAATTCAACGGCGATTGAAACGTCGACAGAATCCGCATGAGATTTGTAACTTGCCCCAACTTTTAACCTGCCGCAGAAAGAGGAAAGGCGCTGCAGCTTACTGGAGGAAGAAGAAGAAGGAGGAAACTCGACGTCGCTCTCGATTACTTTGGACATTCCGAAGAGAGAAATGGACATCGACTTTTTCCTTTTTTTCTCCCAAGACACGGATCTATCTTGTACCGGGATGAAGCATCCCTTTAGGCATATACACCACACGCGTTGTAGCGTCGTCTCTATAAATGTTATTATAAATAAATAGTACGCACACAGACGGCTGCAAGTCGTGCGACAACAGTATCTAAAATAGTAATATTGGCGGCTAAAATAATAATAAAAAGAAAAAATAACTACAATCTAGAGAAAGAAAGAGGATGAGAGAGAGGGGGTAGAAAAAGAGCGTCACCTCTTAAATTAGAAATCTATTTCGAAGTTGACTCTCCCACATTCGGTGTGTCTTTGAGAAAGAGACGCAAGTCTTCGATCATTCCCCCGCGAAGCTTTTACATAAAAAAAAAAAAAAAAACAAAGATTATCCCGTTCAAAGGATCAAACGACGTGGTAGCGTCACGACGCCAAAAGCATCGAAATAAAATGACGACTCGATGACAGGATGACTCGAATACGAATTATGTTCCCGATGAAATTTCCAACCAAATAGTCGGTTCGGGGTTTTCGCGTCAGTCAAACCGTCGACTGAAATTTCTCGAGTGCCGAGGTTGTAATAAAAAATGCAACGGCATTCTTCTGATGAGACATTGACATCAGCTTTCCTGCACTGAGAGAAAAATATAGTTGCTTTTGGCGTCAACTATATGCTTTTGTGATTTTAACCAGAAAAATAATTGGAAGAACCATTGTTTCAGTAAATGTTATTAGAAAGATGGTTCTTCTAATTATTTTTCTGGTTAAAATCACAAAAAAGTATAGTTGACGCCGAAAGCAACTATATTTTTCTCTCAGTGTGATGTCAGTCAGCTTGTCCGATCGCAACTTCTGTCAATCTGGAGATTTCATACGCATAAGATAAAGGAACCTTTCCCGCCCACGTTACAAGCCAAACTGTTAACATATAGAATCTGATGTGAAAAATATCTTCACAGGAAAATTTAAAACATCTTAACCTATTAAGATCAATAAAGCAGTCCTTCCTACTCGGTAAGACATACGGAAAAAAATAATTTTGCTCTTTTAGCAAAATCGTCGTTGCTACTGTATATTCGTAGTGACATCAAAAAAATTTAGTTAATTTTACACCCTAATTTAGTAACTAATTTTACAAATTATTCGTTATCAGAAGTAGTTGTCAGGATAAAAAAATTTGTTGAGTATATTTGTTCTAAGAATATATTTGCTATTGATGCAAATTAATGTATTCTTAGCAAATTTATTTGATATCGGAGTAACATTGTAACTGCTTACATAAATCCATCGTGGTTCTTATTGCAAAATAATTTGTAAATTCAGCAAATTATATCCAGCAAATAGTGATTAGTACTCTTAGCAAATCTTTTTGCTGTCCATATAATAACGAAAAGATTTTGCTAGACCAGCAGAAAATTTGCTGGACCAGCAAATTATTTTTTTCCGAGCAAATAAAGCAGTCCATAGCCAATTTTCTTTTTCATACTCTTAATTGATGACAAGTTTGATGAGCAAAATTGTTATCATACAGAATTTGACGCGAAAAAATATCTGTACGGAGAAATTAAATCTTACTCACTGAAGAGACAAATAATAAAGCAATAATTAACCAATTCTCCTTTTTATTTTCCTGTAAAAGGTGAGTTTGATAAGATATATTATTTTGTCCGAAGAAAAAAAAGTCTCCCTATCTTTCTTTCTTTCTTTCGTTGCCAAGCGCAACGGCGTTGCGACGAACATCGATCTCGCTTGGTATCGCCGGATTCTTATAGACTTTTGATACTTCCTCAGCCTCGAGGAGCACACGAGCGAAATCCTTTCGCTTGTTTTTTATGGCGAGCGAAAGGAGGGCGTCCGCGCTGCGGGTGAAGATCCGCTTAATAAATCCCGAATCGCTAAATATATTCGCGCTACCGTACGTATCGCGGACGGCAGATTAAATCGACAAATAATATTGTTGTTCACAACTGATTGAAGTCACGAAAAAATAGAAGCCGTTTCTTGTTGACCGGTTTAGTAATCTAATCTCCTCTGAGATAAAGCATGACGCACTTACAAAAATTTCAGGCAAAATATTTTAAGACGGAATGCACAATATAACTAATTATTGCCATAGATTAACACGACGTACACGCTCCCCGGACGTGTGACAAAGGCGCCGAAATCACGTCGTCTTTTATCGTCGTTTTCGCAGCGAATAGAATTTTTTCTCCCACACGGAAAAAAATATTTGGTTGAATTAACCAAATATCTGGCCGAATATGAACGATGCAGAAATTCCGATTAAAGTGACCCGAATTCTGTTTAAATTAACAAGATTTTTGATTGACTAACCAAACATGTCTGGTTATTTAACCAGACATGTCTGATTAAATAACCAGACATGTTTGGTTAGTCTACCAAAAATCTTGTTAACTTAAACAGAATTCGGGTTACTTCAATCGAAATTTCTGGATCGTACATATGCGACCAGATATTTGGTTAATTCAACCAAATCTTTTTTTCCGTGCAAAAGTCACGTGAAGAGAACAAGAAGAATACGCATATTGCAAATACTTTTGTAAGTCTCTCTGTTTTCTTAGTTTAACGAGTTGGTAAATTGTAATCTCGTGCACGATAAGTGATCTTAATATGAAGATACTGATGATATTATCGCAATTATTATCGCCTATATATAAGCTATCGTGTTCTTTTCGACGCAGTTTCGCTCGCACTATTTCATTAATTGTTAGCAGCGGCTTCCTTATCGTACGTTACGTGAAACGAGCATCGCATTCATAGCAACCAGTGATACGCAACTAGCACACGACTCGTACGTAATAATTAGTCGTATCGTTCGTCCTCGTTCATTGCGAATATAAGCGGCCGAGTATCGCCGAGTATCGTAAAAAGTACGCGAATAAAGGAAATGGAAATAGCGAAAAGTATCTGAGAACTACAGCTCGATCGGATACTCGATGACGCACTGCGACACGGAAGTGAATCTACCGATCTAGTCTCTTTCTCGTGCTGCCTCGATTCTCTTGATTTCGCACGCGCGCGCGCGTGTGTTTGTGTGTGTGTAGTTTCTTCTTCGCTTTTTCACGCGCAATTAATTCGCGAAAATTGCATTGTCGATTGCGACCTTCGATCTCACGTTCGTCCAAGGCGATTGCGTGAAGCAACGAGATCATATAAAGAAGCTTGTCCGGATTAGTATCCGATGAAGCATGTGCAAGACAGAAATTCTAATCAACTTGGAAAGCTGCACGTTTCCAAAGATCTGATTAACCAAAAATCTTGCGTTGACTTGAAAGTCGCACAAGTTCCACACGGAGAAAAATAATTTGCTGAATTTATAAATTATTTTGCTATAAGAACCACGATGGATTTATGTAAGCAGTTACAATTTTACTCCTATATCAAATAAATTTGCTAAGGATACATTAATTTGCATCAATAGCAAATTAACGTGATTCTTAAGACAAATACACGCAACAAATTTGTTTTATCCTGGCAACGAAACTACTTCTGCTCTGATAACGAATAATTTGTAAAATTAGTTACGTCAACTAAATTTTTTTTATGTCACTACGAATATGCAGTAACAACAACGATTTTGATAATAGAACAAAATTAATTTTCTCCGTGCACACGGAAAAAAATAATTTGCTGCAGCAGCAAATTAATTTGCTACATATGGACAGTTAAATATAACTCGCTGTGTTAACTACTTTTTCTTTGCTGCGGGAACCTATTTTCTTGCTGTGATAACAAGAAAATCTGCTCCTACAGCATGAAAAGTGGCTAACGTAGCAAATTTGCTACAGATAGACAACTAAACATAATTTATACTAACATAATTTATACTAACATAATTTATTGCTTTAGCTACTTTTTTGTTGCAGGAGCAGATTTTCTTGTTATCATAGCAAGGAAATTGGCTCCTGCAGCAAAGAAAAAGTAATACAGCAAATTATATTTAGTTGTCCATATGTAGCAGATCTATTTTTCCGTGCAACTAACCAGAAATCTTATTGAGTCGAGCAGAATTCTAGTAACACTTCAACCGGAATTTCTGGCTTGTTCATACTTCATCAGACTTTGGCTAACCCAATTAAACCAATTTCTTCTCCGTGCATTTACAAATTAAATATAAAAACGGACTAATAGTCAAACGCTGACTTTTGTGCGGAAATAATGCAGTTAGGCCGTTTTTATATTAACGTTTCGATCTGGGAGCCTTGAAATTACGCGGCGTCAAGGATGATATCCCGAGGCCTTGCTCTCGGTTTTATCGCAAGATAGTTCTCTAAATCGACCGTATTTTCTACTTTGTGCAGAGAAATGAGGCTCCATGCAACGTTTGGACTTATCCTGATCTGTTGCTATGCCTTGGCAATTGAGACGAACGGTTATCGTAAGTATAGTAGATATACATTTCGCCTCCTTGCTCTAGCATTTCTCTAGCGATGTGTCGAACGTTATATATATATATTTTTTTTTTACCCAAGTACTTACGATTTTGCTTGGACATAAGTAGAACGGGAGTCCTACTTATGTCCAAACGGCCCACCTCTTGGCCGAATCTATTGTCGAAAATGTATTATTTTTTCAAGACTAAAATCTAATTTACTTTCCTTCTTTTTCTTAAATAACATTTATCTTTTACAAAGAATATATTTTTTTTATAAAATAAACTTCAAATACACTCATCACAAATTTTAGAAAAGTTTATTTTATTATGTATTTAAAAAAAGAAAATACATTCTCTACAAGTATATTAGATAAGAAAAACTTGATACGATTTTATGTAGTGAGGAAATCGAACTTTTCTTTTAACTTAACATTCTTGATGGGAAAATACTGAACTTACTCGGATTCAAAATTTTAAGTAAATTGATGCTTATGATGAACTTGTGATAAATTTACGGATATATAAACTTATGGAATACTTGAAACAAGTAACTTTTAGTTGAATACAATATGTATGTTTCTATATTTGTGTATGATCGCGCAGGTGTTGTCTTCGTGTTTATTACTCGGCGTGTGTGTGTTTCTTTTTTTTTTAAATGACAATAATGTTTAGAAATAATGATCAAAAATGTATCGTTTTCATATTAATTTGTATTCACCGTACAGACTATCCCGTAACTGGTGGTATAATCGAGCAATGAATGATTCCTCACGAAGAGACGAGACAGAAACTTCTTAGAAAAGATTTCACTTGACACTTTCGACTTACGAGGAATCTAAACCTCGTTTTACTCGTTTTCCGAGGAATCTGTTCCTCGTTTTCTCCTCTCATTTTCGACTGTCGTCATTTATGGGGCACCCTATGTAAGGTGAAATTCTATTTTCAGCTCACCAGGGCACATATACCAAGCTTGAGGATGTTCTCGAGGGTTTTAGAGATATAATAAAGACAGGGAACTCAACGCTCGGACTTCCACCCCTCGACCCATTCCGTAGCGAGAAAATGCCGATTAATATCGACCTGGAGGATATGATCAAGTGCGTGCCGATTTGATCTCATGTCATATTATTACGTGCGATGTACTTAGAGCGCGGCGTCAAAAAAAAACAAAGAAATTCCACGACAGCAATTCTAATTTCCCTTTTTAAGGTAATATCTTCCTTCGAAATTCTAGATTGGACGCGATCCTTACGAACATCGACGCGCGAGGCTTGTCCACATACAAAGTCAACAGTGCCGACTTCCAAATAATCGGTATGAAAGTGATGGCGAACCTCACATGGGAACACATATACGCGAGCACTGATTACAACATGACAGGTCTCATAGGCGGGGAGATGCCAGTTTACGGCGATGGAGCTATAACGTTAGTATTCGTGTCTTCCGTGAAGATCGAAACAGACACGTTTCCCAATTTCAATAAGAATAGACGGAAAAAAAACAAATAATATTCGTCTTCTCAAAAATATACATTAAGCTTAGTTTCTTGGTGCAAGAACGCCGTGAATTATACAATAGTTTGTCATACTTTGTGTGTATAAAAAAAAATTTTTTTTTTATTGCTTCAAAATAGCGAATGCTCAATTTAAATTTCTTCTTTTAAATAGCTATCTTCAAAAAAGATATATATATATATATATATATATATATATATATATATATATATATAATTGTGTCTTGATAAAGAATATATATCTGGAATGCCTTGATAAAAGAATATATATTATCTTGATAATAATTTTACACTGAGAAAAAAATACTTGAAGATTAATTTGTAGAATATAAAATTTATTTCTCGGAAATAAATCTCTACAAATATTTTTTTCTCAGTATAAAATATACTCCTTGCAAGTTTTTGAAAAGCTCATAGTCATGTACTCAAAAAAAGAATTTTTTCTCTTTACAAAAATATCATCAAACTCGAAGAAAAGACTGGTTCGACTTTATTTAGTAAGCAAACCACACTTTTCTTTTAATTTAATATTCTTGATCAAAATACTAAATCTACCAAGATTCCGAATGAATCTCTAGTAAACTTGGTGCTTATGATAAACTTATGGTAGATTTGCCGATATATAATTTTATGCAATACTTAAAAAACAAGTAACATTCACTAGAACGCGGTATACAAGCTGAAATTATTCTGTGCGTACTGCACGATATCGATGATAAAGGCACATCGAAGATACGCCCTTTATCGCTTGACTTTCTGTATTAATGCAGATACAACATGCATAATCGTTTCCACCGATATTCCGATCGATGCACTATTGCGCAATTGTAATCTTAAGAGACCTTCCGCAGGCAGGTGCATCCTGTGCATCAAATTTGGCGCAATCATACCAGTTTCGAAGTATTATTGCAGAGATACGTTTGTTAGCACAATATCAATTAATTGTCAATTAACTGCGATATCAGTCAACCGCGTTATTTATCATTATCGTAATTGCACATTATTCCCGATTTCGCCCCCAGCCAGCCACCCTTCACCCACTTATCCACTCACCCTACCATCTACTAGCTCGACTAGCTCTCGTTCGGCTGCAACCTTGCGCTCGCTCGACATGTCGTTTCATTTCGTCTCATCTATATTAAATATAACGATTGAAATATGCACGTGAAAAAAGGGGGAAAAAGAAAAACGAGAGCTGCGGTGACTGACAATGAATCAGCCATTCTTCATTCAACCGCGTTCCCGCGACTTTATCGAACGCCCGACTGCGACAAAGGGCGTTATTAAACCGCGACTGAATTTATCTGGCTCGCGTAACACGCGATCGTGCCGATCGCGACGAGCTTTCTTACAGCAGTCTCTGCCGGCTTTGGCGTACGCGATCCCCAAATTGAGACCATTTTGATGGTATTCAAGCCGGACTCGGGGTAATTAATCGGCGTGGAAGATGTTCGTCGTAACACTGAATGTAACTGCAGAAAAAAGTACGGTTTTTCAGAAAACTGGACGGGGAGATGATTGTTTTTCATTTTTAAAGGGGAACTCCATCTGCAGACAAACTATCATCAAAAAGTCGATTACGAACCAAGATAACATAGAGAATTCAAAAAGAATTAAAAAAGAATTCAGTTATATGTCATCAATTCTAAGTTTATTTTCAGATGCAAAAAGAATTTTTCAGAGTTTTTCAGTTCAATGAAAAGAATTCTTTTTGCATCTAAAAATGAACTCAGAATTGGTAACATACGATTGAATTCTTTTTGAATTCTCTGTGCTATCTGGAAATTCACTTTTGAATTCTCATTCAGAACCTCTCAGTTCATCTATGAGATAGTAGCTCAATGAAGTCAAAATCTGCACACAGATTTACGTTATTCTACAATTTTTTTGGAAAGCTTTTCCGTGAATAAATAGTTTTTCGTGAAAATGTTTTCACAAAAGCCGGTGAACAATCAAACATTCATCCAAGTTTCACAAACCCAATATTGAATGCGGTTAATCAACGAAGCGACGTGCGTAAGAAGTACGTTCTAAAAAAAGATATGTGTTTATTTTTCAGCCTGGCCGTTCAAGATTTCACTTTTAGCCTGGAACTTTCTGTGACAACACATAATGAGGTTTATCTAAAAGTAAAGTCCTTAGAAACAGATTTTTATTTGGGCGGACTACTGGTAAGTAGACAAGCTAATATGACAATTCTCGCCGAATCTTTTTTTTTCTTTTGCTTGCTTATTACTTACTCGCGGTCGGAGTTCGTTCGCGAGAAGAAACAAGATTCGTCGCAAATGAGTTTTGTCGAGTCACTTTCGAGGATCGACGTGTAATTCTCGCCATTTGAAAACGTAAGGATCTAGGATCGCTTCCTCCACAGAATCTTTCAACGCGAGGCTCGTTAAAAAATAAAAAAAATGCGAGTTTTCGATGCGGTTTGAATACCTATCCAGATAACACAGAAAATTCAAAAAAAATTCGAAAAGAATTCAGTCGTATGTTATCAATTCTTAGTTTATTTTCAAATGTAAAGAGAATTCTTCAGAGTTTAGTTCAGTGAAAAGAGTTCTTTTTGCACCTAAAAATGAACTCAAAATTGGTGACATACGCCTGAATTCTTTTTGAATTCTCTGTGCTATCTGCGTAAGCTGTTCGATTACGCCCGCGAACGAACATACAATTAATCGTGCGATTTTTGCAGTTGGACATAACAGGTTTGTTCCACGATCCAGAAATATCCAAGATAATAAGCGACATGTTCTCGGACATGATACCTGATCTGGTGAATGAAAATAAAGATGAGATCAAAAGCTACGTACATCCTGCCGCAATAGAAATGATCGACAACTTTTTGTCCGATAAAACAATCTCGGATATACTTAAATGGCTCACTTAAATCCGCTGTCCGTCGCCGTTTCTCTTCCGTTCGATTGACAATTCGTAGTTTCGAAATATATGACAGTCGATTTTCAGATACGCGGCAGTGAAATGTTGACAGACGCGATTTTAATTTATTAGTATTACGATAATGGTACAATAAGAAATAACAAGTTTCGAAAGCGACAAGAATTCAAATGATGTCAATCGATCAAAACATACGATTCGAACTGATAATTCAATCACATCTCAATCAAATGAATTTGGCGTATTGGACTCTAATGTGGAATGTTATCAATTTTCTTATCTCCGCGCCTTTATTCTCTTCCCAAACAGCACAATGTCTAAAATCGGGTCATAAGACGTCTTATGACTCGATTTTGGATATTTGTGCTGCCTTAGTTCTGTTTTCTCATATGTTCTTTAATTAATGATTACCGGAAGAGTAGTTAAATTATTTATCCATTACACGCATATAATAATCATATCTATCTATATATGTATATATATAAATAAATAAATGTATATATATATATATAAATAAATAAATAATTTTAGATTTAATATAACGCTGTTTCTTTCCCTCTTCTCCTCCCACTCTCTCTCTCTCTCTGAAATATTTTATTTATAATCAATTTATAATCAATTTATAGTTAACATTAGCGTGTTGTATTTCTGTAACGTATAAAAAGGCATCATGCTTCTTTTGTCTCACGTGTAAACCACACACGTGTGCACACGCAACGCGTTATCTGTCGCACGTGACATGAACACTAGCCGAGGCGTACTGTTTTACCGACAGTGCGGATAATTGGAGAGTAGCGACATCGTTGATTCACTCGCTGGAAGTACTTGGACGATTAGCTACTGCCTGCTACAGTATTGCTTTCGCGCTACAATATTGATTCACGCGTAATTTAGAGATTTTTTATATATTTACACATATAAGACACAGCATGCATATTTACGTATAATTACGTAGATTTGCGTAGATTTGCGTAAATTGCATTTTCACAGTATGTTTACGAGCAAGACTTGTTTTCCGAGATACTCATTTGCGGTACATAAGATCGATTTTTCCTACCTCTTGGTAAGCTAACCAACAGTTAAATCATACGTCTGTCTTCGTCTAATTTGAAAGCGCAACAAAGACTATACAATTTAATTGTTAGTTAGGAGAAAACTAGTCCTTCTTAGGTTACACTGAGAGAAAAAAATAGTTGGAATAACTATAATCTCACTATATTTTATAGTTAGTTTTGTCCTCAAACATATATTTATAATTAATTTAAACATGCAAGATATAGCAGAGTGAGCGCAGCCCACACAGCAAAGATGTCCAAAATATATCATAGGGATATCCTAAAGGGATATGTGATATCTTCAAGATATCCTTATGATATATTTAGGACATTCCTACTGTGTGGGAGATTTATAGTCGTCATCACTATAATAGAAATTAGCACAACCATATGAAATGGTCATAATAAATGGCAAACGTGTCCGCGTCCATTACTATGCAAAAGCCATTACTGTGGTTAAATTCATTGTGTGCATATGATTGGTGTTGCAAGTATTTATTTAGTTATCAAATTTATTTAGTTTACCAAATGTATAATAATTCACCATTTAGAAATATAGTACAATATAGCATTCATATAGTTACACACTTTTCGTACAAATTGTGTCATTATTTGTTTGGTTCTTATTACTATATGAATAGTAAAGAAAACATAGTTACATGTATATATATTTGCTAAATATTCTAATTATAGTAACTAAATAAAATGGTTAATTTCTCTTACCATTCGATATTTGCTATCTTAATATATTTTTAGTTTAAATAATTATAATTCTTGGTACAAATTTTACATGGGTCAGTTTTACTATGCCTATATCGTAAATATCAGTAACATTATAGTGACACTTCCTATAACAATGATATTCCTAACTATAATTTTTTTATTATGCCATTATAGTTCCAAATATCATACATTTTTCTCTCGGTGTACATTCCAAAACATCTTTTTCGAGGAAAATTTTACTCTTAAATATATCCCAGACAGCACAAAATATATTTATAAAATATTTACAAAATATTTATAAGATTTATTTGAATATTTTATAAATATTTATCAAAATATTTTATAAATATTTTTATGACCTTAGTTTCAATAGATCATAAATATTTATCATAAATATTATAAAAATATTTATTAAAATATATACAATTATATACTTTTTTCTCTTTTCTGAACTTTTCTTAAATTTTTAAAATATATATGTTCTTAGTTTTCATTTTATATTGTTTCACACGCTACTTAATTCAAGTTAAATTGTACTTCGAAAATTTACCATTGCCGAGATTCGAAAACCTGAGACCTGCAACGAGCATCGATCTCGCTTAGTATCGCCGGACTCTTATAGACTTTTGATACTTCCTGAGCCTCGAGGAACACACGAGCGAAATCCTTTCGCTTGTTTTTTATGATGAGCGAAAGGAGGGCGTCCGCGCTGCGGGTGAAGATCCGCTTATTAAATCCCGAATCGCTGCAATATATTCGCGCTACCGTACGTATCGCGGATGGCAGATTAAATCGACAAATAATATTGTTGTTCACAACTGATTAAAGTCCCAAAAAAATTGAAGCCGATTCTTGAACCTTTTGTAATCTAATCTTCCCTGAGATAAAGCATGACTTACAAAAATTTCAGGCAAAATATTTTAAAGCGGAATGCACAATGTAACTAATTATTGTCATAGATTAACACGATGCATACGCTCCCAGGACGTGTGATAAAGGCGCCGAAGTCACGTCGCCTTTTATCGTCGTCTTCGCACCGAATAGAATTTTTTCTCCCACACATTTTTTCTCCCACTTACAAAATTATTTGCAATATGCGTATTCTTCTTCTTCTCTTCACGTGACTCTTGCACGGAAAAAAAAGATTTGGTTGAATTAACCAAATATCTGGACGAATATGTATGATCCAGAAATTCCGATTAAAGTAACCCGAATTCTGTTTAAGTTAACAAGATTTTTGATTGACCAAACATGTCTGGTTATTTAACCAAACATGTCTGATTAAATAACCAGACATGTTTGGTCAATCAAAAATCTTGTTAACTTAAACAGAATTCGGGTTACTTTAATCGGAATTTCTGGATCGTACATATTCGACCAGATATTTGGTTAATTCAACCAAATCTTTTTTTTCCGTGCGAGAGTCACGTGAAGAGAAGAAGAAGAATATGCATATTGCAAATACTTTTGTAAGTCTCTCTGTTTTCTTAGTTTAACGAGTTGGTAAATTGTAATCTCGTGCACGATAAGTGATCTTAATATGAAGATATTGATGATATTATCGCGACTATTATCGGCATATATATACGCTATCGTTCTTTTCGATGCAGTTTCGTTTGCACTACTTCATTAATTGTTAGCAGCGGTTCACTTATCGTGCGTGAAACGAGCATCGCATTTATAGCAACCAGTGATACGCGACCAGCACACGACTCGTACGTAATAATTAGTCGCATCGTTCGCCCTCGCTCATTGCGAGTATGAGCGGCCGAGTATCGCCGAGTATCGTAAAAAGTACGCGAATAAAGGAAATGGAAATAGCGAAAGGTATCTGAAAACTACAGCTCGATCAGATACTTGATGACGCACTGCGACACGGAAGTGAATCTACCGATCTAGTCTCTTTCTCGTGCTGCCTCGATTCTCTTGATTTCGCACGCGCGAGCGCGTGTGTTTGTGTGTGTAGTTTCTTATTCGCTTTTCCACGCGCAATTAATTCGCGAAAATTGCATTGTTGATTGCGATCTTCGATCTCACGTTCGTCCAAGGCGATCGCGTGTCGGTGAAGCAACGAAATCATATACGGAAAAAGAAGTTTGTCCGGATTAATATCCGATGAAGCATGTGCAAGCCAGAAATTGTAGTCAACTTGAATAGCTGCACGTTCCCAAAGATCTGATTAACCAAAAATCTTGCCTTGAAAGTCGTACAACTTCCACACGAAAAAAAATAATTGCTCAGAAAATTTTCTCCTGGTCTAGCAAAATCTTTTCGTTATTATATGGACAGCAAAAAGGTTTGCTAAGAGTACTAATCACTATTTGCTGGATATAATTTGCTGGATTGAATTTACAAATTATTTTGCTATAAGAACCACGATGGATTTAAGTAAGCAGTTACAATTTTAATCCGATATCAAATAAAATTGCTAAGGATACATTAATTTGCATCAATAGCAAATTAACGTGATTCTTAGGACAAATAGACTCAACAAATTTGTTCTATCCTGGCAACGAAACTACTTCTGCTCTGATAACGAATAATTTGTAAAATTAGTTACGTCAACTAAATTTTTTTTATGTCACTACGAATATGCAGTAACAACAACGATTTTGCTAATAGAGCAAAATTAATTTTCTCCGTGCACACGGAAAAAAATAATTTGCTGCAGCAGCAAATTAATTTGCTACATATGGACAGTTAAATATAACTCGCTGTGTTAGTTACTTTTTGCTGCAGGAACCTATTTTCTTGCTGTAATAACAAGAAAATCTGCTCCTACAGCATGAAAAGTGGCAAATTTGGTACAGGTGGACAGCTAAACAATTTATTGCTTTAGCTACTTTTTTGTTGCAGGTTTTTGGAGCAGATTTTCTTGTTATCATAGCATGGAAATTGGCTCCTGCAGCAAAGAAAAAGTAATACAGCAAATTATATTTAGTTGTCCATATGTAGCAGATCTATTTTTCCGTGCAAATAATCAGAAATCTTATTGAGTCGAGCAGAATTCTAGTAACACTTCAACCGGAATTTCTGGCTCGTTCTTCAGACATTTGGCTAATCCAATTAAACCAATTTCTTCTCCGTGCATTTACAAATTAAATATAAAAAAGGACTAATAGCCAAACGCTGACTTTTTGTGCGGAAATAATGCAGTTAGGCCGTTTTAATATTAACGTTTCGATCTCGGAGCTTTGAAATTACGCGGCGTCGAGGATGATATCCCGAGGCCTTGCTTTCGGTTTTATCGCAAGATAGTTCTCTAAATCGACCGTATTTTCTACTTTGTGCAGAGAAATGAGGCTCCATGCAACGTTTGGACTTATCCTGATCTGTTTCTATGCCTTGGCAATTGAAACGAACGGCTATCGTAAGTAGATGTACATTTCGCCTCCTTGCTCTAATATTTCTCTAGCGATGTGTCGAACGTTATATATATATATATATATATATATATATATATATATATATATATATATATATACATATATATATATATATATATATTTTTTTTTTTTTTTTTTACACAAGTATTAACGATTTTGCTTGTACTCCCGTCCTACTTATGTCCAAACGGCCCACCTCTTGACCGAATCTATTGTCGAAAATGTATTATTTTTTCAAGACTAAAAGCTACTTTATTTTCCTTCTTTTTCTTAAATAACATTTATTTTTTACAAAGAATATATTTTTTTTTATAAAATAAACTTCAAATACACTCATCACAAATTTTAGAAAAGTTTATTTTATTATGTATTTAAAAAAAGAAAATACATTCTCTACAAGTATATTAGATAAGAAAAACTTGATACGATTTTATGTAGTGAGGAAATCGAACTTTTCTTTTAACTTAACATTCTTGATGGGAAAATACTGAACTTACTCAGATTCAAAATTTTGAGTAAATTGATGCTTATGATGAACTTGTGATGAATTTACGGATATATAAACTTATGGAATACTTGAAACAAGTAACTTTTAG